GATAGATAGATAGATAGATAGATAGATAGATAGATAGATAGATAGATAGATAGATAGATAGATAGATAGATAGATAGATAGATAGATAGATCAGGGGTCTTCAAGCTTGGCCCTTTTATAACTTGTGGACTTCAACTCTCAGAATTCCTCAGCCAGGCACACTGGCTGAGGAATTGTGGGAGTTGAAGTCCACAAATCATAAAAGGGCCAAGTTTGGAGAGAGAGAGAGAGAGAGAGAGAGAGAGAGAGAGAGAGAGAGAGAGAGAGAGAGAGAGAGAGAAATATAGATATTGATATAGATATAGAGACAGACTAATGGGAAATGTATGAAATCTTCTCTAGTGCCAGTCCTGGATTGCAGCATAAAATTTAATTTAATTAAATTGGAAGTTGGACGATTTGGTTACTAAAAAAAAACTTGCCTATGGGATTTTTTTCTCTCAGGTTCTTCACATGGTCGACCTTTTGAAACGTGGAATTGGGGTGCACCACAGTGGCATTCTGCCCATCCTCAAGGAGGTTGTGGAGATGCTTTTCAGCAAAGGCCTTGTCAAGGTATGTGTAGGAGATGGCCAGGGTGAGCCTGAGGGTGGGGGGCTGGAGGGGCGTCAAATGCATCATGAGTTTGGAGTCTCTGTGCCCCCATAAGAGGCTTAAGTCCGGCTCCCCCTTGAAGTCTCTGGACTCTTTATCTTAGACAGTTTGCTTTGACAGTTAGTAGATCAGATTCTTGTGTACAAGTAGTCCTCGACGTATGACCGCAACTGAGCCCAAAATTTCTGTTGCTAAGTGAGATACTTGTTCAGAGAGTTTTGCCCCATTTCGTCACCTTTCTTGCCCCATTTGTTAAGTGAATTGCTGCAGTTGTTAAGTTAGTAACATGGTTGTTAAGTGAATCTGGCTTCCCCATTGACTTTGTTTGCCAGAGGGTTCAAAAGGCGATCAATCACCCCTGGACGCTGCAACCGTCATAAATATGAGTCAGTTGCTAAGTGTCTGAATGTTGATCACGTGACCATGGGGATGCTGCAGTGGTCCTCAGTGTGAAAAACGGTGATAAGTCACTCTTTTCAGTGCTCTTGTGACTTCAAACTGCCACTAAACGAACTGTTGTAAGTTGAGGACTATTTTTATAGGTAGCATGGAATAAACTTGTAATACTTTTGAGCCCCATCCTGGCTCCCAATTTCTTGCAGCTGACAGAATGTCCCATGGATCAGACTTCTCCAGTCTTGTGCCTCCAGATGGTTGGATTCCCTCCCATCATCCCCTGGTCTGGAATGGCATAACTCGAAATGGCCCAATTGCCGCAGCCAACTCACCGCTGCCAATTTGCCATGGCCATCTCACTGTGGCCAGCTCTTCACGGCCAACTTGCCAAGAGCCCATTCGCCTCAACCAATTTGCTAAGGGGACACTCACTGTAGGACAATTCAACAATTTTATTTCGTGATTTCAAACAAATAAAAATTTATTGTGTAACTAGCTGTACCCAGCCACGCGTTGCTGTGGCTCAGTCTGGTAAAAGCGTGTGTTGCTTTTACGTCCAACAGATGGCGCTGTTTTTCAAAAAAAACCATGTTTTTACCTGTCACAGGTGTGACATCTATATAATATAGGTATATAAAAACACGTGCGTATTCGAATGCAACGTTGTGTGAAAATTTCAAAGCAATCGGTGAAGAACTTTCGGAGATTTAAGATTTTGAACAAACGAACATTTACATTTTTATTTATATAGATTTTTGTCATTCCCATTTCATTCTGTCCCTCCTTTTGCATCCTTTCTTGAACGATTCCATTGCACTATTTCTTCAATATTATGTAATTTTTGTCCTGAAGCAAGCTGGCCTTGTTGAATTGTCCCGTGGCGAGTTGGCCGTGGCGAGATGTTCTAGGACCCCACTCCATCCCCGCCGCCCCCAATAAAAAAGATGTTGAGACTCTAGAAAGAGTACAGAGAAAAGCAACAAAGATGATTAGGGGACTGGAGGCTAAAGCATATAAGGAACGGTTGCTGGAATTGGGTATGTCTAGTTTAGCAAAGAGAAGGACGAGGGGGGACATGATAGCAGCGTTCCAATATCTCAGGGGCTGCCACAAAGAAGAGGGAGTCAAGCTATTCTCCAAAACACCTGAAGGCAGGACAAGAAGCAACGGGTGGAAACTAAGCAAGGAGAGAAGCAACCTACAACTAAGGAGAAACTTCCTGACAGTTAGAACAATTAACCAGTGGAACAACCTGCCTCCAGAAGCAGTGAATGCTCCAACACTGGAAGTTTTTAAGAAGAAATTAGACAGCCATTTGTCTGAAATGGTATAGGGGTTCCTGCCTGAGCAGGGGGTTGGACTAGATGACCTCCAAGGTCCCTTCCAACTATTATTATTATTATTATTATCATCATCATCATCATCATCATCATCATCATCATCATTATTATCATTATCATCATCATCATCATCATCATCATCATTATTATTATTATTATTATTATTATTATTATTATTATTATTATTATTATTATTATTAGGCTGGAGGACTATAGGTGATGAAATGTAATTCTCTGGAAAGCACCAGGTAGAGGAAAGCTGCTAAAAGCCATTCTGGTTTTTTGCCACAAAAAGAGGTGAAATCTCCCCATCTTTCTCCTTCCCTTCTGGTTTTAGATCCTCTTTGCCACAGAGACTTTCGCCATGGGGGTGAACATGCCAGCAAGGACTGTGGTTTTCAATTCAGTTCGTAAACATGACGGTGCGAATTTCCGGGACTTGGTACCAGGTAGGAGCAAAGGAATACGTTTCATGGTGTCCTTTTTTTATGGGTGTGTGTGTGTGTGTGTTTATAAGTAGAATGGCCAGATGTTCCACAGACAAAACATTTGTCTGCCCTTCTCTTGCACATCATCTCCCACTTCCTACCTCCAGCTTTTTCTCTTTGCTAGCTGTTTATCTTGTCACTGTTCCTGCTGGCTGCCATGAAACCTTTAAAGATGGCACGTCCCACAGAGGTACCTTTAAAGATGGCACGTCCCACAGAGGTACCCTAGAGCAGGGGTAGGCAACCTTGGCTCTTTTATGACTCGTGGACTTCAACTCCCAGAATTCCTGAGCCAGCATGGCTCAGCTTGGAAACCTCTCTCTTTCCCCTCAGCATGGCTGGCTCAGGAATTCTGGGAGTTGAAGTCCACGAGTCATAAAAGAGCCACGTTTGCCTACCCTGGCCTAGTCCCCTTTAGAAGGCAACTGAGCCAGAGGTTGGCAATGTACAGGTAGTCCTTGACTTACAACAGTTCATTTAGGGACCGTTCAAAATTACAACGGCCCTGAAAAAAGTAATTTATGACCGTTTTTGACAGTTACGACCTTTGCAGCCTCCCTATGGTCATGTGATCAAAATTCAGATGCTTGGCAACTGGTTCCTATTTATGACGGTTGCTGTGTCCCAGGGTCACGTAATCCCCTTTTGCGACCCCCCCCCCGACAAGCCAAGGCAATGGGGGAAACCAGATTCGCTTGACAACTGTGTTACTAACTTAACCACTGCAGTGATTCACTGAACAACTGAGGCGAGGAAGGTTGTAAAATGGGGCAAAACTCACTTAACAACTGAGTAACGAAAATTTTGGGCTCCGTTGGGGTCTTAAGTTGAGGACTACCTGTATGCTCTTCTGAACCGCACGTCCCACAGAGGTACCCTAGAGCAGGGATAGGCAACCTTGGCTCTTTTATGACTTGTGGACTTCAACTCCCAGAATTCCTGAGCCAGCATGGCTCAGCTTGGAAACTCTCCCTTTCCCCTCAGCATGGCTGGCTCAGGAATTCTGGGAATTGAAGTCCACGAGTCATAAAAGCCTAGGTTGCCTACCCCTGCCCTAGAGCTATTGGGATTTTTTGTAGGCCAAAAGCCAGCAAGCCAATTTATCTCAACTGTTTAGAATATTTTGGGGGTGCTTTGAGACTGGGAACATATATAGAGCAACCACAGCACAGTTATGCTGGTTTCTTCCCCAAAGGAAAACAAAAATAGCCTTTTTTTTTTAATCTGTGGACACCTGTATGTCAGGAGGCTAAAGCAGTGTTTCTCAGCCTTGACCACTTTAAGATGCCTGGACTTCAACTCCCAGAATTCCCTAGCCAGCATGCCAAAATTCTGGGAATTAATGTCTGAGCATCTTAAAGTGGCCAAGGATGAGAAATACTGGGCTAAAAGTATAAAATTCTAGCAAAGTACAGGTAGTCCTCGACTTACGACCACAACAGAGCCCCAAATTTGTGTGGCTAAGTGAGACATTTGTTAAGTGAATTTTGTCCCATCTTACGACCTTTCTGGCCACGGCTGTTAAGTGAATCACTGCAGGTGTTAAGTTAGAGACACAGTTCTTAAGTGTGAATCTGGCTTCCCCATTGACTCTGCTTGTCAGCAGGTCGCAAAAGGGGATCATATGACTCCTGGGACACCACATCCGTCATAAATATGAGTCAGTTGCCAAGCGCCTGAATTTTGATCACATGACCACGAGGATGCCGCAACGGTCGTAAGTAAGAAAAATGGCCATAGCTCACTTTTTTCGGTGCCGTTGTAACTTTGAATGGGTCACTAAATGAACTGTTGTAAATTGAGGACTACCTATATACAGAGATGAGTTTTCATCTATCAGTCTGGCTGAGGCAAGAATGAAACTAGTGTTGTCGTTCCTTCTCTCTCTTACTTGATGGCAACAATGGTTATACCAGCCACACCACGCCACGTACGTACTATATCTCTCTTTCCTCCGCATCCTAATAGCCGAATACATCCAGATGGCCGGCCGGGCTGGGCGTCGAGGTCTCGACACCACTGGGATGGTGATTATCCTATGCAAAACCCAAGTGCCTGAAATGTCCGACCTTCATCGCATGATGCTGGTGAGCGATTGTTGTGTGCTTGTCTAGCTTAAGCTGCAAATGATGCAACTGCAGTTGCTTAAGCTGTAAAGCAGGGGTGTCAAACTCAATTTCACTGAGGGCCGCATCAGCATTGCGGTTGCCCTCGGGAGGCCAGGTGGGTGTGGCCAGAGTGGGTGCAGCCTACTGGGTGGGCGTGGATGGAGTGGGTGTGGCCTACTGGGTAGGCGTGGCCAGTTCTACATCATTCGCGTCAAGGGTGCCTATGGGGGCCTGGGCAGGAGTGGGACAAATCTAAGGGTCTCTGGCAGAAGGGGGTGGGACCGGGGAAAGTGCCAAGGCATGGTCCACTGGGGCAAGTGCCAAAATGGCCACCACAAAATTGTACATTGGCTCCCGGCCGGCCTGGGCCAGGGCCAAGGCAGAGGGGGCCGTTCCCTCACTGTTTCCAGGATGGCTTCGCGGGCCACATGAAACCACTTCGCGGGCCGCCTCCGGCCCCCGGGCCTTGTGTTTGACATGTCTGCTGTAAAGGAACCCGCCTTGGGTTGAAATTTGGGTTGAAATTACAGCCAGTAATGAACATCCTCCTTCTGGCTGAGGATTAAAGTTTACTGGAACCTCAGTAAGGACAAAGGACGACCACGCCCCCTTCTGGGTCCAAAAATCAGACGTTTGCGGGCTTCCGCTTGAACATTCTTTTTTCCATTACAGTTAATCCTTGACTTATGAAACAGAACAGAATTCTTTATTGGCCAAGCGTGATTGGACACACAAGGAATTTGTCTCTGTCGCATAAGCTCTCACTGTACATACAAACAAGTTATAAATCATGATCATAATCATAAAACACAATCGTCATAAGTCATAAGATACAACATTCAGTGATAGTCATGGCATAATAAATAAGCCATCAACATAAATCATAGTAGGATACTAAATAAGAACAATCAACATAAATCATAAGATATAAACAACCAAGTGATAATCCTAAGAAGCTAAGGAAATAAATAATAGGAAAGATGAGAAGGATAATAGTAATACGTCCCTACTAGGGGGCATAAGACAGCGCTGGGGGGATTAGGTGTTTAGCAGAGTGATGGCCTGGGGAGGGGGGAGAAAAACTGTCCTTGTGTCTGGTTGTTTTTGAACTAGATAACTGAATAATAATTGAACACAGAATTACAGTCATAAGTTGTGGCGGTCATTAAACAGATTGCCACGTGACTGTCCTCAATTTTATGACCTTTTTGCTGTGGCTGTTAAGCAAATACTCTAGTCATTAAGGTAATGTGGCAGCTGTTAAGCAAATCAGTGGGTGATTTTTGCCAGAAACTGGGAGTAAACATTGGTTTCTGGCAAAAAACCTAAATCGTGGTCAAGTAACTGTGAGGGAGCAGTCATTGGAACTTCAAAACTGGATCGCAAGTAACTCTGGAGAGGTATGTGCTAACTTCAAATGGTTGCTAAGTGACAGGTCGTAAGCCGAGGACTTCCTGTATGACTTAGCTGATCAATGGATGTATTTTCCATGTTTTGGTCTAATTCTTTAGATTAGGGCCTGTCTGAATATTAAAGAAATTTGCCAATTTCTTGGTTGAGTTTGGTTGGATGGCTAGGAAGAGAAGCATGGAGCTCTAAGAGGCTCCAAAGGTATCCACCTACTGCATTGGAAGTAAAGGTAGACCTCAGCTTACGACCACAATTGAGCCCCAAATCTCTGTTGCTAATAGTCTGTTGACAATAGTCAAATGAGGTTTGCCCCATGCTACGACCTTCTCGGCCACGGTTGTTGAGTGAATCACTGCAATTATTGAGCTGGTAACCTGGTTCTTAAGTGATTGTTGAGTTAGCAACACAGTGGTCGCCAAAGCTAATCACATGACCCCGGGACACTGCAACCGTCCTAAATAATGTCAGTTATCAAGCATCTGAACTTTGATCATGTGACCACGAGAATGCTGTAATGGTCGTAAGTGTGGGAAATGGTCATAGTCACATTTTACAGTTTGGTTGTAACTTCAGATGGTCCCTAAAATAATAGTTGTAAGTCGAGGACTACCTGTACAGTGGTACCTTGGTACTCATTGTTAATTGATTCTGGGAGGTGCGATGAGTATCAGAAACGATGAGTACCAAACAGAATTTTTTTCCCCATAAGGAATAATGTAGCGAGTCACAAGGCAACCGACACTGACAAGTTCTAGCTTTGGGCACGGAGTACCAAACAAACGAGTACCGTGACAAAATTTTCACGTCAAAATGCATGGCATACCAAATTTGATGAGCTTCAACACTGTTGAGTATCAGGCTATCATTCTTACAGGTAGTCCTCGACTTACAACAGTTCATTTGGCGACCGTTCAAAGTTACAGCGGCATTGAAATATGTGACCTATGACTGTTCTTCACAGTTACAACCTTTGCGGCATCCTGATGCAGATCAGGTGATCAAAATTCAGACGTTTGGCAACTGGTTCACATTTTATGACCATTGCTGCGTCCCAGGGTCGTGTGATCCATTTTTGCGACCTTCTGACAAGCAAAGTCAATGGGGAAGCCAGATTCACTTAACAACCAGGTTACTAACTTATCAGCTTCAGGGATTAACTTAATAGCTGTGGCAAGAAAGGTTCCTAAAATGGGGCAAAACTCGCTTAACAAATGTTTCACAGAAATTTTGGGCTCAATTGTAGTAAGTTGAGGACTGCCTGTACTATGTAACAATCCCTGGGCGGTTTTAGAACAGACATGTCAAACACAAGGCCCGGGGCCTGGATGCGGCCCACGAAGTCGTTTCATGTGGTCTGCAAAGCCATCCTGGAAACAGTGAGGGAACGGCCCCCGCTGCCTTGACCCTGGCCCAGGCCGGCCGGGAGCCCATGTACAATTTTGTAGTGGCCATCTATGCTGAAACGCATTCAGCCTTAGCTCCACAAGGCCGTCTAGAAATAGCAAGGGACCAGCCCCTGCCGTGTCGGCCCCGCCCCCTGGGTGCATACTGGGGAGGTGTCACCCTTTGTGAGGAATGAAGAAATGGACCATGCCTTGGCGCTTGCCTCGGTCCCACCCCCTTCTGCCAGAGACCCTCTTCTGCCCAAACCCCCACAGGCACCCTTGACATGAACGATGTAGAGCTGGCCATGCCCACCCAGTAGGCCACACCCACTCCATCCACGCCCACCCAGTAGGCCGCACCCACCTCCCCCCCCCGAGGGCAACCTCAATGCTGATGCGGCCCTCAATGAAATTGAGTTTGACCCCCCTGTTTTAGAAGAATGACACTACACATGCAAACCTTTTCCCATGGATATAAGGAGTAGAAACTCAGTTGGTTTCAAGTTATTAGGAAGTTAAATCCGGGGTCCATTGTTCTTTTTCCAAAGGATTCAAGTCCATGTGTATCCTTGCCTATTGAATTGCCAGCTCATCATCTCTTGTAGCGTCTTCCAGGAAAATCTGCTTTGCCCTCTCCTTGTCTAACCTTAGGCTGTTTCCTTTAGGGTAAACCCACTCGGTTGCAGTCCCAATTCCGCCTGACTTACACCATGATCCTAAACCTGTTGAGAGTGGAGGCACTCCGAGTGGAAGACATGATGAGGAGAAGCTTCTCCGAGTTCCACACCCGGAAAGACAGCAAGGTGTGATGGATAGGGGGGAAAACAGTTGAAATAGCTCCTGGAAAGACTCAAAGATGCTTGAGAGGAATCCAGAGCAGCATCTTAAAGTTTTCTGGGATACAACAGTTTGAGGTGGGGGTAGGATAATGTGCGTGAGAAGGACTCTCATTTTTAAGGCAGAAGGAGGCCTGGAAGAAAACGGAGGCTGAGTAAGGAGATATAGATAAGGAAATGTAGATATCTGTTGGTTGGAAGTCCATCTCTTTAAGTCAAGAACAAGAGTCTCCAAACTTGACAGCTTTAAGATCTGTGGATTTCAACTGCCAGAATTCCCCAGCCAACTATGCTGGCTGGGGAATTCTGGGAGTTGAAGTCCACAAGACTTAAAGTTGCCGAGTCTGGAGACCCCTGGTCAAGAAGATGAAGCCTAAACTGCTACAGATGATTGAGTCCCTCCAGCTAGCAGTGGTTTTCCAAGGATATGGTATATCAGGGGTCTTCAAACTTGGCCCTTTTATAACTTGTGGACTTCAACTCCCAGAATTCCTCAGCCAGTGTGCCTAGCTGAGGAATTCTGGGAGTTGAAGCCCACAAGTCATAAAAGGGCCCAAGTTTGAAGACCCCTGTCGTATATCCTTGGAATGTAGATATGGTATCTACGAGGGCAATTTGGAAATAAACCTCCTTTGGGTTATCAATGACAGACACTCGTAGATATAGAACTTGTATTATACACATTAGAAAACTACGACGTTACATTACTTTTTGACATAATCGCTATTCAAATTGAGGCACTTGTCATAACGTCTTACAAGGTCTGTAATTCCTTCTGCAAAAAAAATCTCCCGCCTGGGAATGAAGCCACCCTACAACAGCATCGTGAAGCACATTGTCATCATTGAAGCGGTGCGACGTAACCCACTGTTTCATTTAAAAAATTGGTTCATTTTCAACTGATCTGGCGGACGAGTCAACTGCAACACAACCTTCTCCTTCCACTCCTCACTGCCTATTGAACTGCTGCACACAGTGCCATAGGACAGGTGTCGTTATCCCCCCCTATTTCTCGCACTTGCTCAAACGGAGGTTTATTTCCGAATTGCCCTCGCATATTTTATATATATATATATATATATATATATGTAGGTCTTTGGTCATTCGGGTTCTCTCCCGCGTAAAATTGGAAGTGTCCTGGCGACGTTTCGACAAAGTCACATTCGTCATCTTCAGGCTGGTGTCTTCAGCTTCGTGCTTCTGGGAAGCAGATAGATAGATAGATACTGTAGATAGATGATAGATAGATAGATAGATAGATAGATAGATAGATAGATAGATAGATAGATAGATAGATAGATAGATAGATAGATAGATCAGATATGGTATTTGACATGGCATAGGAACTCCTGCTTGAGCAGGGGGGCTGGACTAGAAGACCTCCAAGATCCCTTCCAGCCGATTCTGATATAGTAAAGACTTGTTCTTATTTGGTATCAAAGACTAAATTTGGAACCTGCTGTGCCAAAATCAGTTGCTCTTCCAGAGCACCTGGAAGACTCCAAAATATTTCCTACTGTGGTAGCTGCAATCACTTGATGTACTAGTGCATTAAACCAATGGGCTGGGTGCCTGCAGCATGCTGGATCCATAAATTGACCATTTCAGCTGTTATGCAACATTTGGCGCCACGTTAGTCAATCCTGGTATAACCTAGCCCAGGGGTAGGGAACCTTGACTCTTTTATGACTTGTGGACTTTGACTCCCAGAGTTCCTCAGTCGGCATGTCTGGTTCAGGAATTCTGGGTATTGAAGTCCACAAGTCATAAGAGCCAAGGTTCCCTAACCCTGACCTAGCCTGTTTTGTGAACTCAGCTTCTTTACGTTAAAATGGTTGGAACTGGGTGGGAAGGAGAAGGCAAGGAGTTGGGCGCTGTATGGAGCTGCTTCATCATCTCTGTCTCCTCTCCAGGTCTATGAACACAGAATCACCCAGCTGAGCAGTATGTTAGCCAGCATGGAAATCCCAGACACCTCAAGGCAGCTTGGTGACTTACAAGAGTATTATTCCATAGTCAGAGAACTGCAAGAGATCCGGGAGCGCATTCAGGTAGTGACTGGAAGAACTGGGACCAAAGGTTCTTTTTCACCTTGTGGTACTGTCGTACCTCAAATCCCAGACAAGCATCAATCTAAGATAGTCTTCCCCCCAAGTCTGGTATCCTGCTGTTGAATTGGGGCTGCAGACCTGCTTATTGTAGGAGTTGTGCTCCTGATACAAGTTGAGGAAGATGTCTTTAGAAGGCATTTTTGGGTGAATCTGGCTAAAGTACCTTGCCTAGGATTCAGCTTTGGCACGTGACAGGTGTGACCCTCGAGCCAAGATGTCCGCCCTTATTTCAAGGGGAGGAGGCAACTGTAAGTCTCACAAAATTCCCCTTGAGACACTGCTGTCGGGAACGTTCCATTCCAGTTTTCTCCAATCTCGTCCTTTCAAATTTAAGTCGTATTCAACCACCATGTCCATTAACCCTGCTGGTTGGGATTGATGAGAATTGTGGTTTAATCCAGAAGTCCCCAACTTTTGGGGTTGGCGGCCCGGTGGGAGAGGGAGGGGCAGGTGCCTTACGCGTGCATGCGCTAACGTGAATGTGGCCACATGTGCGCGCGTGCACACCAACAGGCCATGAGCATGCGTACTACACAAACAGGGCTGTGAGTATGTGTGAGGCTTGTGGCGCCATCGCTGCAAGGCTCACAGCAATGCTACCATTGTGCTGCCACCCCATGTGAGGCTCGCGCTGCAGCCCACCTGCCGCTTGCAGCGCTGTCGCCACCCGCACAAGGTTCATGGAAATGCCATGATGGTGTGTCCATTGCGGCAATGGTGGTACAAGGGGGGGTGTGACACACGCATGTGTCACTGCTCAGCTACTCACGCGGCCCGGTGGCCAAGAGGCCACGGCCCAGTAGTGCGCCACGGCCCATAGGTTGGGGACCTCTGGTTTAATCTGCTTGGAAAGATCAAGGTCAAAAGAAAGATCAAAACTGGAACGATGAATCCTTCTTCTTTGAAGTCCACTTATGGGTGGGAAGTTGCATGCCTTGCCCTATGGCAGGGGTAGGCAACCTCGGCTCTTTTATGACTCGTGGACTTCAACTCCCAGAATTTCTGGGCCAGCATGGCTCAGCTTGGAAACCTCTCCCTTTCCCCTCAGCATGGCTGGCTCAGGAATTCTGGGAGTTGAAGTCCACGAGTCATAAAAGAGCCGAGGTTGCCTACCCCTGACCTATTGGGTTTCTCCCTTTCAGAGGCGAGTAATGGAATCGGTGAGTGGATTGAAAGCCCTTTCTGTGGGACGAGTGATCGTGGTGAACAACCAAGAGCACAAGAATGCCCTAGGAGTCATCTTGCAGGTAGGTGTCAAAGCTGACTCGGTTTCTTCGTTGCCTGCATCGATTTCCAGCTCGCAGTTTTGCCAAACAGAAATGGCAGGGGGGGGCGGTGTCTGCTAAAATCCTAAGGTGGGGGGAGGCTCAGGAAGGCATGAGAGCCTTCTGCCCCCAGGAGAGGAGATACCCACCAAAGCTAAGTTCTCGGAGGTACCAGCTGGCGCAGAAAAACACATTTCAAACAAGTTATAAATTGATTTGCATTTTCATGAGTGAAATAAGTATTTGACCCCTTTGCAAAACATGACTTAGTACTTGGTGGCAGCAATCACAGAGGTCAGATGTTTCTTGTACTTGGCCACCAGGTTTGCACACATCTCGGGAGGGATTTTGTCCCACTCCTCTTTGCAGATCCTCTCCAAGTCATTAAGGTTTTGAGGCGGACATTTCGCAGCTCGAACCCTCAGCTCCCTCCACAGATTTTCTATGGGATTAAGGTCTGGAGACTGGCTAGGCCACTCCAGGACCTTAATGTGCTTCTTCTTGAGCCACTCCTTTGTTGCCTTGGCCGTGTGTTTTGGGCTATTGCCATGCTGGAATACTCATCCATGACCCATTTTCAGTGCCCTGGCTGAGGGAAGGAGATTCTCACCCAAGATTTGACGGTACATGGCCCCATCCATTGTCCTTTTGATGCAGTGAAGTTGTCTCCTTAGCAGAAAAATATCCCCAAAGTATAATGTTTCCACCTCCATGTTTGATGGTGGGAATGGTGTTCTTGGGGTCATAGGCAGCATTCCTCTTCCTCCAGATATGGCGAGTTGAGTTGATGCCAAAGAGCTCGATTTTGCTCTCACCTGACTACAACACTTTCACCCAGTTCTCCTCTGAATCATTCAGATGTTCATTGGCAAACTTCAGACGGGCCTGTATATGTGCTTTCTTGAGGGGGACCTTGTGGACACTGCAGGATTTCAGTCCTTCACAGCATAGTGTGTTACTATTGTTTTCTTGGTGACTATGGTCCCAGCTACCTTGAGATCATTGACAAGATCCTCCCGTGTCGTTCTGGGCTGATTCCTCACCATTCTCATGATCATTGAAACTCCATGAGGTGAGATCTTGCATGGAGCCCCAGACCAAGGGAGATTGACAGTTATTTTGGGGGTTTTGTATGGGGTATTTTTAGAGCAGGCCTGTTATTTAATTTGATTTTAGAACAGAAATTTGTGTATATTTATCGTGGTTTTTATTATCGCCTGTTCACCGCCCTGAGTCCCGTAAGGGAGATAGGGCGGTATATAAATTCAATAAATAATAATAATAATAATAATAATAATAATAATAATAATAATAATAAT